GCTTTTCTAGTAGTTCGTCGCCTGCATCTACTCACAATCTCATCTCTTTTTATTGTTCTTGTTGTTGCTGTTGCTTCGATTTCATGCTAAGGAATCAACAGGTGGATGAGGATATAGTGTGTTGGAGAGAGGAAGAAGATGACTTATTTGGTACAAAATGGTACCTCTGGGTACCAGGCTTTGATATATTTTTTTTGTTGTTACCAAGCCTAATATGCAACTACAGGTCTTGATACCTCGTGGATACCAGACCAGGTACCACCAACCTTAGAACCATGGGTAACAGCCCATGTCTGATACCCCAAATACTGAATCTAATATCCTAAGTATCGGATCTGATACCTATGGTACCAGACTGATACCTTGGGTATCAACCCGATCTGGTACCTCAGATATCAAGTACCGATACCAGACCAGGTACCACCAACCATAGTAACATGGGTACCAGGTCTGATACCTCAAGTATCGAATCTAATATCCCAAGTATCGGATCTGATACCTATGGTACCAGATCCGTTACAGGTACCAACCAAATCTGATACCTCAGGTATCATTTTCAAGATATGGGTACCAACTGGATCTGGTACCTCAGGTATCAAGTACCGGATCCGATACCATAGGTATTAGATCTGATACGGATACCAACTAGATCTGGAACCTCAGGTATCAAGTATCGGATCTGATACGGGTACCAACCAGATCTGGTACCTCAGGTATCAACTATCAGATCTGATACGGGTACCAACCAGATCTGGTACCTCAGGTATCAACTATCAGATCTGATACCTAAAAGTTGTGTGGGGACTCAATGCGAGTGCATGGATGTGTGGGGGAGCGCAATGGACACGTGAAGGGTCTGGGAGAGCGATGCGTACGTGTGGGAGGAAGAGATACAGACGCGTGGGGACACATGCGCATGGTTGGTGGGGGCAACGACTCATCATTAACTCATTATAATCTATCCCGTTACACGGGATACCGTGGTCTAGCAGTTCTCCAGATAAAAAGATACATATAAAGTTGTTTGTTTCCTTGTATTGATTTTGTCTGGTTAGTATGAGATTTTGTTTAGTTGCATAAATGAGAGATACGGTTTAGAAGATGTTTTTGTTTAGTTGGTTGTATAAATTTGGGTGTAGTTAATTCTTTATTTAGTTAGGTGAGATTACCTCTTCAATGTTATATAAAAATATTGAGAGTTAACTAGCTAGATATAGACAATTTATCAGAACAATATTAGTGTTCAAAACCGTGAGAAAAAGAAGAAATTAGCTCAAATATGATCGATAGTAACTGTCCTATATTGACGGTACGCTGATCTCTCGGTAGAAAAAAAAAGAAAAAAAAAGAAAAGGAAAAAAGAAAAGGGGAACGAGCTTCACTCGCCGTCGCTCGCTGCTGCTTGTGCACTCACAGACTCACTGGTTATTTAAAGAGACCATCGAAGCAGAACAAAGAAAAGTTACAGGAACATGATTTGAGAAAGGGGATTGCTATATAGCATTCGAATGAAATTTGGGGATAAAAAAATGTAGTCAAGTTTTTTGCAGGAAATATCATTTTCCAATGAAACTATTGAGTTCCTTTTTGCGAGTAAAATTAAAGACTTCTTTATTTGCAGGTAATCACCGAGGCTTACAAATTTACAATACAATTGAAGATCAGAACTAGTCACCCTTCCTTGATGAAAGAGTAATTTTACATATTGCATTTAGAAGGATAGCATTTCCTTCAATGTAGAGTCTCCGAGCATAAGAGCAGCAGTGCGCAGAGCTTTTGACCAGGGTTGACAATAACAGTGGTTACTGCATGGTCAGTTACTGCAGGTGTTCGGTTTGGTAAACCGTTGGTATATGGTTTGATAAAATTTGTTTGGACTAAAATTTAAAGAAGATCAAAAAACATATATAAGTAAAAAATCAGTTCTAGTGCTATCTAGTAAAAAAATCTTGTGTGAATTACTAAAGTTAACTTAATTTTTTCGAGCTAAACCAAAATGGAAATAGAAATAGGCCAACCTGAGCACTACTCATGAAGCCCATTTAGGTTAATCCTACTTTGTAACTATGAAAGGGTAAAATTATCGCAGCTTGTGCTCTCTGTCTTTTGACTCATTGGCAGTGTGGAAATTTGGCATCCAGTTTAATATCAAACAGTGAGGCTCAACTTGTGTTTTGAACTTTTTGTGAAAATATAGTACATAGAAGTTGTTAAATGGTTTCCAACACCAAAAAAGATCCATAGTTTATCTTGTTTGGAACTTCAGAATATACTCCAGTAATGTATGGTTGCCACTGTCAAAGGCTCAAAGCGCTTGGTTGCAGAGTGCAGAGACTTTTCCCCGTTTTCTCAGTTCCTTTTTGGTTTGGCATTGTGCTCTGATTGAACAACCAAGGCTGTAATATTTTTTCCAAACAATTTTACGACAACAGTGACAATGTAAACTTCATGCATTTGCTTTCACCTATCACCAGTCACCCTACAGGTAAAGCAGAGGAAATGGGGAAAATATAAAGGGAACCGAGAAAAAAAATGCAGTAATAAGTTGGTACAAATTATCATTTTCAAATAAATTAAAGAGTTCCCTTTTGCGAGTAAAATTAAAGAGTTATTTCTTTGCAGGTAATCACTTGGGATTGCAATACTCAATACAGTTGAAGACCAGAACTTAGTCACTCTTCCTTGATGAAAGAGTAATAGTCACTCTTCAATTTAGAGTTTCCGAACATATAAGAGCAGCATTACACAGCCCTTTAGACGAGGGTTGACAATACTGGAGGTTATTCAGTTACTGCGGGGGTTCCCCTCAAAAAGATAATTACTGTGGGGGCTTGGTAGGGTAAACCGCCGGTATGATTTGTTAAAATTTGATTGAATGCAAATTTGAAAAAGACCGAAAAAATCTATAAGTGGAACATCAATTCTAGTGATATATGGTGAAAAACTTGTGTGAAAAATACTAAGTTAACTTTATTTTTTTTCGAGCCAAACCAAAGTGGAAATGAAAATAGAAAAAAAAAAGGAACTCGAGTAGGCCAACATGAGTACTATTCATAAAGCCCATTTAGACCCAACAGAGAGATATCTTCTCTTTCACTCATTCACTCTCTCACTCAACAAAATATTTTTCTGAAATGTTTAAAACTTTTTCTAAGGTTTTTTATATGGTTTCCTTTTTTTGCAAATAACTCTTTTAAAAAATAGTATTATGATTACCGTGGCTTACCAAGAGGTAACTTTGGGTTAGTGCAGTTACCATGACCAATGGCTCTTTAGAACAAAGAAATTTAAAAACAGGAACATGAAAAATGTAGAAATAGAGGTGGCATATCTAGTTGATCCTTAGGAATTCTAAAATGCAGGAATTGTGCAAAACTTGTTGCTTGGACGCTCCATAAGAAAAGTACAAGATTTTTGGAGAGATAGACCAAGAAAAGTTTCTCATGAGGTCCAATCTCATGTTAAAAAACCTCCAAATTTGCTATGAATCAAGTCATTCCATAGGGATTTTGTGGGAATTTCAAGTGCCCATTCCTTTGTTTCAAATGAGCACTTAGGAAAAATTTCCATAGAATTTCAATCCTACAAAAATCATCTTTTCCTTTGTTACAAATAAGCCCTAAGAGATTTGAAGATGAATCTTGTGTGGTCTTGCACGGTAACTGCATGGTTGCTGTCTTGGTGGCGGTAAAACCCTTACATGCCGGTAAGGGAACCCAGCTTTATGGCATACTTAATATTGCAAGCTTGAGAGCATATAATTATGAGTAAATTCCAGAAAACTATAACTATGATAGTTTGCTATAACATTAGTAACCTATTTCAGTTTGATGCAACAATAGCATGGGAAATTATCATAAAACTGTAAGTTTTACGTGATATGCTGCTACATGACAAAAGTTGTAGTTTTGTGATAATTTCCCACGCAATTGTTGTAGCAAACTGAAATAGATCACTAATATTGTAGTAAACTGATAGTTTTGTTACTATAGTTGCAGTTTTTTGAAATTTACTCTATAATTATACTATACGATTTCCATTCCTGCAAATGATTTTTTTTGTTGAAACTCTGTATACTAAAATATATGAGTGTAAGTAAATGTTTAAGAATTTGTATTTTTCTCATGAATAATAGATGCATTATGGATCCTTATTTCTCTCTAATATATCATAAACACCAAGGCCACTGCCAAATTATAATTTGCAACTACGAAAGTTTTGGGTTGGCATTTTCAAAATGAATGAGAAAGTAACACAGGTACCAAATTTTACACTGTAGGATTTTGTACCTCTTAGTTTTTTTTTCAAGGGCCATAAAATTTCTCTTACAAATATCTGAGATTTTTTGTTTTGCAAGGAAAAACAGTTGGATTTGAAATTTAAGTCACAATCAAGTTGAAATATGGTTTTCTACATGAAATTTTTTATTTTTCTACTTCAAAATCAGTTCGTCAGGTTACAAATATAAATGCAAAAAAAATACTAGCTGAAATTTCTACATTTTTTTATAAAGAAAAAGAACCGTCTAGTTTGGCTGCGGAATTGACCTCCCCCTAAAAAAAATAAACATAAAAATTCTGTATTTTGCGAGGGTAAAACAGGAAATTTGACAGGAAACACGAAAAAGAACAAATAATTTCAGGACAGATAATCTCCGTTCCCTTTATATTTTCCCCATTTCCTCTGCTTTACCTGTAGGGTGACTGGCGATAGGTGAAAGCAAATGCATGAAGTTTAAATTGTCACTGTTGTCGTAAAATTGTTTGGAAAAAATATTACAGCCTTGGTTATTCAATCAGAGCACAATGCCAAATAAAAAAGGCCAGAATTGGGGAGAACACACCAAGTACTCTGCACTCAGCAACCCAAGATTCAGCTTTGACAATGGCAAAAATATACCACAGGAGCAATCTGAAGTTCAAAACATGGTAAACCATGGATATCTTTTGTGTTGGAAATCATTAACAACTTCTATATACAATATATATTTCCACAAAAAGTTCAAAACATAAGTTGAGACTCACTGTTTGATATTAACCTGTATGCCAAATTTCCACACTACCAAACAGTCGAAGACAGAGAGAGCACAAGCCGCGATTATTTTACCCTTTCATAGTCACAAAGTAGGATTAACCTAATCTTCATTCTTTTAAACCTAAAATCTACAAATATTTGTATACAGAGTGCAAATAGCCAAATGCACTCTTACACTAAACAATCCATAAAAAAAAGCTCATATACATAGTACACAATACAATTTCCAGCACAAGCAAAATGTATTTTTTACTCATGGCTGCTGTTTGGAAGACGACGACCAAGTGCTCGGATCTTTGCGAGAATACATCGACGGTGGAGGAGATGGATATGGCGGGAAAAGCGGCGCCAATGGCGGGAACGGCCACGGGAACGATGGCGGCGGTGGCGGCGGCGGCGGCGGAGGCGGAGGTGGCGATGGGTAGAATGATGGCAGCGGTGGGAAGTGCGGGAGAGGCGGCAGCTGCGGGAACGGGAACGGGAACGCCGGTGGCGGCGGCGGGGGCGGTGACGGCGGCGAGAAGATTGGCGGGAGGTGCGGGAACGGGAACGCCGGCGGCGGCGCCCACGGCCATGGCGGGAGCGGGAACGGGAACGCCGGCGGCGGCGGCGACGGCGGCGTGAGGAACGGGATCGGCGGGAGCGGGAACGGGAGGAACGGCGGCGGCGGCGGCGTGAGGAACGGGATGGGCGGGAACCACGGGCGCGGCGTGCAGAACGGGATCGGCGGCCACGGCCACGGCGGGCAGTAGAACAGCGACGTGTTCAGCGCGGCGGGGGGCACGTCGCCTCCGCCGCCGGTGCCGCCGCACTGGCCGCCGTTCTTGGCGCCGCCGGGGCGGTAGTAGAGGGAGTTGAGGTTGTAGAGGCAGGCGTTGGGCTGGTCGTGGTCGTGGCCGGAGGAGGAGGAGGAGATGTGGCCGACGGTGGTGGTGACCGCCGGCACGTTGCAGAGCGGCGAGGGGTTGTCGATGACGGCGGCGCGGCAGAAGGAGTCGGCGGCGGCGGCGGCGGAGGTGGCGCACTCGAAGCCGTCGATCGCCGGGATGTCGAGCTGGTACGCGCCGAAGGTGTTGGTCACCTTCTCGGCGGTGATCTTGATCTCCTCCTTGGACGCCGATTTCACGCTGATCATGCAGTCGATTCTCACTTTGACACCTGTGATGAACAACCAAGCAATTCAACATCAGATTAATTATCTGCAATTTGTATTCGACCGGATTATTAAATGGTTGATTGTTGTGAGGTTTTTGGGATAATGGTATTTTTTTTGAGTAGCTATATTCATGACTCCATATTTTTTATAGAAAAATAATCAGTATATATTTGTACATTGCAAGTCACCAAATTACATATGCAATAATTTTAGTGTATACTGTAAAAATGATTTAACTATATTTGTTTGAAACGTCATAAATATAGCCAGTCTGTTTTTTTACAAAATGGATAAAATCCGGCCCCTGCATCTATTACAAAATGGATAAATCGGATATGTGAAATATTTTCTATTATTTTTAGTAAAAGGTACCATAACATTTCCTAGGTTCCAAACTTAGCACCATTCTAAACAGTTTAATATTGTTATACTGTAAACCTTGGGCTACTTGGCTAATATTTATTTTGGTGGGATGTGCAAGTAGCATGTCAGTGCACACCTGCAGATTGCAAGTTGTTTATCATACTACGTTCTCTAAAATTATTACGAAAAGTACAGGAGAAATTCCATACGTGACAGACACAAACTAATAAAAAACAGAGCTCCCAAGTTCCAAGCTTCTTCCAACTAATGGAGGAAAAATAGATTGTTCAGATTATATCCAAAATAAACCTACTGAAATTTTGATAAGTTGATAATATTATTAAGTTTTGATAGGATAGCCACTAATGTGTAGTTACCAAGAAATTTTATCAAAATTTCTTGTGTATTTACCAAAATTTGGTAAAAAAATAAATGTATGTACATTTTGAACAAATTTATAAAAAAATGAAATGGTTTGAAATGACATCAATCAGAAAAAAAAAAGGGAATTTTGAATTCCAAGAAACAGATTATGTCCACCCAAACATTCCACAAAGGTTTAGAAGAATGAAATTTCTGACAATAGTCTTCTACCAAAATATTATCAGAAATCTAAACAACAAAGTAATCCTCCAAAATTAATTAGGGGACACATCACCATTGACTTCAGGCTGAATGCCTGATGATAACTGAAGTACAGTAGTACCTGGCAAGAAGTAGCTGTGGTTGGAGAAGGAGCTGGAGGAGCAGGCGTCGCAGAACACCGTGCCGGTCACCGTCAGGTTCGCCGCGCCGGCGCCGGCGCCGCCACCGCCGCCTTCACCTTGAGTAGAGCTCTCACAATGTGCACCACGGAGAGGAAGAAGAAGAGCAATCAGTATCACCTCCAAGGAAAGAAGAAGCAACCTCGGCTTCTTCATGGTGTAGTGCTCCTCCATCTTCAGAGTTCAGACAGAGCTCGAGTGGTGAGCTTCTGCAAGAGCTGGAGAAGCTGATAGGCCTCTACTCCAGCTTTATACCCAAGGTCTATAGAGTGTAGTAGCATGTCCATTTCAGGCTGAGTTTGTGAGAGTGGCATCCACAAACACAAAGACAAATGTCCTGAAAACCCGCTCGCTCTCGCTGACAGGTGGGCCCTGTATACTCCGGCACAATAGAGACCCCACATGTCAGTGACCGTCGAGGGAAGAATACACCGAAAACCCGGTTGTACGCGTAGCGAAAACCTAAACTAGTGGTTGGGAGATGATCAAATTAAGGGAAAATGTGTAATTGAGCAGGGCATTGCTCATGCATGCTGACTCCTGAGGCCAGAGAGAAAGGGATTGGGAGGGGGGTGGGACACATCACTCCAATCCAACTCACATGAAACAAGAACATGTGAAGGGCATCTGGACCTTTTGTGCCATTGCTCTAGCTACCAATTAACAGGAGGGTACAAAAACTCTTGAATTCTTTTTCAGGGTTTCAAGCACTCTCTCTCTCACACACACACAAACTTTTGTCACGGGCTCTACCCGTGAGAAATTTTGAAAAAGAATATTTGGATCCGGTGTTCTGGAAGCATCATCGTTTGGAATGTACCGTGACTTCTTAGTTCTTGCATAGGAACAGTTGGAAAGGGAGACAAAGGACATGGAATTCATGGTGACATAGGTTGTACTAGTAGTAGCAGATATACCTCGAAGCTTGTGACTTGTGAGTTGCAATTGGGCAGAGGAAGAAGAAGAGGCTGGACCGCCCAAGGAGAGGATATTTTTTTGTGGAGATTTTATGGAGCAAACAATTAACTGAAGCATGTATGGGAGATCCGTGACATTGTCCCTTGTGACAGAGTGGCTTGTGTGTTGTTGTGGCTGTCAAATCTCCAGAGGATGAATCCTCCGTATGCTGCAGGATCTAGGGCGTCAGGCGTTGGGAAACGGTGGGTTAATACGTGATGTGTTCAGCAAACTCGCCCACAGTTTTAGGCTTTCACCTTATAGCAGGCTGTGAAATTGCCAGTACCAGAGACACACATCCTACCCATGAGGCCTGTTTAGATCCCACCTAAAATTTTACATCGCATCGAATGTTTGAACACATATATGAAACATTAAATATAGTCTAAAAAAATAACTAATTGTACCGATTGCGACTACTTTGCGGACGAATCTTTTAAGTCTAATTGCTCTATAATTTGACAATGCGGTGCTACAGTAAACATGTGCTAATAACAGATTAATTAGGCTTAATAATTTCGTCTCGCGGTTTACTGACGGATATTGTAATTAGTTTTTTTTTGTTAGAGCCCGAACACCCCATACGACACCTTATATAATACCCGATGTGACACGCCAAAACTTTACACCCCTGAATTTAAACACCTCCTAACTGGAGAGGAATTGGGTTTTGGAAAGGTTTCTTTTTTCTAATTTGAATAAATTAAACTGTTTGTACTTTGTAGGAAGTGATTCTCAAACCAAAAGGAGACCTTAAATGTCGTTCTATAAATGACAAAATGTGCCATCACAGAGGTCATGTCACGTCGAACAATTACTTAATCCATCTGTTCCATAATATAAAGAATAATTACTTAATCCATCTGTTCCATAATATAAAGAATTTTAGGTGGATGTGACACCATGTCCATATTTATAGTATTAGTATGTATAATATCCACCCAAAATACCTTATATTATGGGACGAAGAGAGTACAATAATAAGGTTATGATATTGTCTTGTAAAAAGTATTGTGTAGTTCCTGTGAACTGTAATCACATTACAAGAACAGTAAATATTTCAACCGGTATGTAAGCCATACATGTGAAAGAAATAAATACAAGAACAACAAATATTCCAAACGGTATCACTCTTTGTGGTTCTACAGTTTTTAGACAAAGATTGAGAATACAAAGATGGCTAGGATTCACTATTTTGAAACACACGTATAGAAACATTTCAGGGGACCGAAATACTAAGGGTTGTTTGGTTCCTAGCCAGACTTTGGCACCACGTGCAAATAAAAATTGTCACACTTGTCTAACATGAGGTGATCAAATTCTTGATCACGCCTTAGCAAACCTAGGAGAATTTTGTTACACTTTTTTTTAAGTCATTGACATTTGAGACCTAATATGATGATAAGGAATTTTACCGTGACTGTGGCAACTCAACTAAACAGTTGCCAAATTAGCTAAACTTGCCTAACCTTAGGCGTGGTAGACTGTGGTAAAGTGTGGTGTAGTGTATAGCTAGCAACCAAACATCCCTTAATTCTTTTTTTTCAACTTTAACGAATTTCCACAGGATTTGGACTTTTTTTGTCAAACTAAACAAGTCCAAATTTTCAGAGCACATTATACAGGAGCCATTGAAAGCCCAAACTTTCAAAACTTTTCAGTCCAAAATCAATAAGGGGCTGGGGGACACCAGCTTAAAAAGGAAATCACACTGAAGTTATGTTGTACGTCAATTGAATTAGTTATCTGCGCATTTCCCTTATGTGCATTGTACTACTCTTGAGAGTGATAATACCACTCCATGCAAAAGGCCATCACCACGATGCTAAAACAGAATATATATATGCGATTATTCAGCACGATGGACTGCTAGTGCCTTTAATTGAAAAACAATTTACCAATTTCTTGAAAGCAACGACTAACTTAGTTACTAATAATTGTTAATTTTTAGGAACAAAATTACGCCCAACAACTTACGAAACTTGAGTATACATGCCAAGTTCCCAAGCAAACAACACGTAAGCTGTAGCCATGGTTGCAAGCACACCAGCTGACCCCACCTATCAGACACACGAGCCCAACTGTTAGACCATAGACATCACATCATGAGCGTCAGGGTGACCAGTGCCCAAAGCCTCCGCAAAGAAGAGTTTGCCAGCGATGGTGGTTTGGTCGACGACTAGGTTTATGTGTAGAAAGAAATGGTCTATATTACCTATAGTGGCGAGATAACATCAAACGCATAAACAGTAATATAGACTTTTTTATAGTGCTTGCTCCGTAGTGCCGAGACAACATCGAACGCATGAGAAGACGGGGATGAAGAAAATGGTGGACCTCTGCATGCTCACATACTAGGCCTCATTGCAATGCTGGCAGTGGTGAGGGCAGTGCTGCTGGTGGTGGTGGTGCTACGTACACGCGGTTGGTGAGCTACATGCTCAGGACGGGGGCAATAGAAAGTGTCATCTGTGACCGCCCTTTTGTCTGTTGGAGTTCGTTGACGCCCATCTAAAACTATACCGTTGATCGCAGCGCAACCGAGCCATTATCCAAGGAGAGATAGGCGAGAGGCAAGGATGGATCCAGATATATGGGGGACTCATGTCCTTCTTTCTCCTTCAGCCCCCTTCTTTTCCTCCCCTCTCTCCTTCTCCCTCCTCTCTCTCCTTCTATCAATGGTGATCTCGCGGTGTAGGGGGGCTCGAGTCCCCTAGCACCCACGCTGGATCCACCCTTGGTGAGAGGTGAGGAAAAAAATAATAAACGTGGCTACTTTTATGTGGGTCTGACTATATGTTTTATTTCATGCAGGATGAAACCATCATCAAAACCATTTGGGAAGGCAAATTGAACCGGTATTGGTAGCTGTAGGAGATGTTATATATGGTATTTCAATTGAACAAGGGAAATTGAACTTGATTCTTATATGAGGGAGTTATATAGACTTTATGGTATGTGGACTGCTTCACATCTCTACTGGTGGCCCACATGCTTGCTGGCTTGCTGCAGATCGCAACTTGACTCCCACCACTTCCTCCCCCTCCTCGTAGTTGTGCGGAGCGGAGAGGACCGCATCGTTGTTCTCGGCGGTGTTCCCACTGATGCGATAGCTACCTCTCCCCTTTCTCCTACGCCACCAACTCCGTCCCCACCTCTTCCTCCTCCTTGTCGCGCGGGACTGAGAGGACCACATCTTTGTGCTCGGCGGCATCCCCACTCCACTGGAGGCGGGTGCATATTTACTGTGGTGCAGCGGCTCCTGTTGGCGGATCCGGCGGTGGCTGCTTCTCCCATGGGCGGATCCGACGATAGCTGCAGTAGCGGATGGCCGTAAATAATTGTAATTAGTAAAGATAATAGAATATGTGTAGAAATTAAATTAGAGATGGCCGTGATTAATTGAGATACTGAGTAATTGGAGAAGTGCTACACAAAATTCAAATGCCGAAAGTTAACGTATTATGCCGAATTTTTTTTTGCATCTAAACACATGCAGCTCCAAAATTCCAGATGTGAGCACGTAATGTTTGAATTTCTATTTCTAAACAGCATGCTTGTTAGACCATGTCAAATCCGGTTGAGCTGATGCCCAACGAAATAAATAGGATGTATCTATTATTATTATTATTATATACTAAAAGTCCATTAAACTTCCTACAAACGCTCTTAAGCCGCCACATGTCATCCCTACAAATGTTCCTAGGCCGCCAAGTGGTGCTCTAATAAATTAGAGAAATTCTAGGAAAAAAAATAAAATATCTAACCATTGATTTTCATTTAATCTGGGGGACCCATATTTTCTAACCATTACATCTAACTAAAAAATACCAAATAGATTTATATTTAGAAAGCGCCACGTTCTATATCGATCCATCCGTACGTGTACGTGCATGTACGTATATAATTCGTACGTACGTGTCCCCCCTTCCCTTCTTTTCTTTTTTTTCTTTTTTTCACTCATGAGAGATAAAAACCAAATTAATAATTTCAGCTAATAGTTGTAAAAAAATATAATGTTATTTCAAGTTGTATTCTACGCACAAGTCCATTAAACTTCCTACGAATGCACTTTAGTCACCACGTGACATCCTATATACTCTCCTAAGCTGTCATGTCGCACTCTAATAAATTAGAAAAAATCTTTGAAATTATGAGAAAAAAGAAAAAAAAATCTGACCATCCGTTATAACTTATAAACCGATGAATCTATTATTTCGAACAATTAGATATATCTCAATGAATCTATTATTTCTAACAATTAGATATATCTCAAG